AAACATGCATAAACAACCTCACGTTTTGGTTAATTTGGCCTCATTTGTGTAACTTGACAACTCCTTATGGATGGTATATATTCAGACTATTTGACACTTATAGGCCGAGTTAATTACACTAACACCCCCTCATATTTATTGTGTTTTCACAAAAACCTCTCATATTTGAAACATTAACACCCCCTGAGGTTCTAATTCACTTTCACACAAACCGTTTAGGACTGTCATCACCTTAAAATATTTTCTTAAACACAAACTTGCCTCATTATTAAGTGGCAAAGGTTCTAGAAGTGTCCTATAAAATATGGGTGGGAGACTCAGGAGTGTCAATTGAAAGAGAAATTTTGAGTGGAATTTTTGTGGGTGAAGAAATTCAGTGGAAGCTACAAATATATAAGCAAGGACTAATCGTTGTGATTTTCAACCTGGCTACCCAACTATACCATGACCTCAGACTTATGGTGGCCAACAAAATGCGTGTCAAAAAAGGGATGTATTAAACCCAGCAACAGAATACAAATTTACTTATAACGATGATTTTACTGCGTTGGTTTTTGAAGCTAGTTACACACTTGTATGATCTTTAATTGTTTTACATAGTAGCGTGTTATCAGTTTTGAATAACGTTGCATGGAAGTTCTTTTTGTAACGTGTAATACGAAACATTACATTATTATTTTTTGTAGGTGAAATAGGATATAAACTTAACTATAATGAGAATATAAGTGTTGTGGTGATGTTTTATACCTAAAAATGTATGATTAATTTGAAATACTGTCACAATGCATATAAATTTTTACTGTGAAAATCACGTCGCATGCATGTTTTGTTTCTATTTCCTAAGTCAAGAGCGAGAAAAATTGTATTTGAATTTCTTGGATTTGTATTTTTGTTTGTTGTTCCACAAAGATTTTAAAAAGAATAAAGAAAGATGTGACCTTGACAAGTTGTTTATTCCTAATTGAGGGGGTCCACACGTTACGCCTAACAAATAGATTTGGTGGTGAGTTTCGGCGGTACCGCATCTCCACTAATAATAATTCTTCATCTTCTTTGTTTGGCCAATTAGTCGACATGTATGGTGTGTTATTAGCTTTGTGTACCGTTACATTGACATTTACGTTACATGAAAGTTTTTTTTTTTAACAATATGTAATATAGAAAACATTACATTATTTTTTTTATATGTGAAATAAGATATAATTTATTTATAATGAGGATGTGATTGTGGTGATGAATCAAGTAATTATGTGTTTCAAAAATTTTACACAGTAATTTTGTTTAATTTGAGGTACCGTCACGCAGGGCCGACCCTGAGGATAGCCCAAGTAGGCGACCACCTAGGGCCCTCACTTTAGAAGGGCTCCCAAAAAAAATTATATCATGTAATTAACATATAAATAAAAAAAAGTAAGAAATATCATAATTCATTTGTTAGTGCAGTGGAAATGTTGGCTTCATTTTTCTTTGGGGTGTTGAATTCGAAACATGAAGCTGTCTTTCAGTCACTAAATTTTTCTTGTTTTTCAAATTTATTGTCAATCCATCTATTCAAATGCATATAAAGTTATAAAACTCAAGTCTCTTTGCAATCTTTTTTCTTTCAACTTATCATTCTCTCCATTTCTATCGAATGTTTAAAGCAACTTCTCACTCTCTCCATTTCTATTGAATGTTTAAACCAACTATCATGTGGTCTTAAAGATTGTACTTTAAGGTAATCAAAACTTTGAATTTATATTTTTCTTTTCAATAACTTTTTATTCAATGGATTATTTTAATATTCAATTCGTTAGTGTGATGTTGATTTTAGAAGAAAAAAAACACAAGAGAAACAATTGGCGTTGAATTTATTATACTCGTCAATCAAGTTTTATTGTTATTTACTCTCTTGATCATCAAGTTTTATTGTTCTTCACTCTCAATCTTAGACTATTGACTGCAAACATTGAGTGCATTTGTATCTAAAAACGTGAATCGTGTAATGTTTAAATAATGTTTGTATATTTATCTTATTTTGATATTAATTTTTAATAATATTTGATGTGAAATAGAACTTTTAATGTATTTAGCGAATTCTTTATTTATACAAATCAATATACAAAAAAACGGAAGATCAGAGAATTTTAAGGCCCCACTTCGAAGGCTCGCCTAGAACCCTCAAATTCTCAGGACCGGCTCTGCCATCACGTTGCATGTAAATTCTTATCGTGAAAATCACGTCACATGAATGTTTTGTTTCTACTTCCCAAGTCAAGACAAAAATTTGTATTTGAATTTCTTGGTTTGTTTGTTTTTTTCTTGTTCTTCCTCAAAGAATTTAAAAAGAGTAAAGAAAGATATGAGCTTGAAAAGTTGTTCATTCCAAATTTCAAACCATAATAGAAACAAATAAGTATGTAGTGAGAGGGTCCACACGCCAAAACCACCACAGGATGACTCAATGATTGGAAGCAAATTTCAGAACTATATTCCACCACACAATACGTCTTGGGTTCGACCCATAAAATATCTTTATGAATCTTTTCGACCCTTAAAAAGATAGATTGTCATGACGACACCACCAGCTAAGTCTTTTATTTATTTTATTTTTTTGAAGTCCACACGCCACGCCTAACAAATATACTTGGTGGTGAGTTTAGGCGGTACCGCATCTCCACTAATAATAATTCTTCATCTTATTTGTTTGGCCAATTAGTCGACATGTATGGTGTGTTATTAGCTTTGTGTACCGTTACATTGACATTTATGTTACATGAAAGTTTTTTTTTGTAACAATATGTAATATAGAAAATGTTACATTATCTTTTTTATATGTGAAATAAGATATAATTTACTTATAATGAGGATGTGATTGTGGTGATGAATCAAGTAATTATGTGTTTCAAAAATTTTACACAGTAATTTGATTTAATTTGAAATACCGTCACGTTGCATGTAAATTCTTATCGTGAAAATCACGTTGCATGAATGTTTTGTTTCTAATTCCCAAGTCAAGAGACAAAAAATTGTATTTGAATTTCTTGGTTTGGTTTTTTGTTTCTTGATCTTCCTCAAAGAATTTAAAAAGAGTAAAGAAAGATATGAGCTTGAAAAGTTGTTCATTCCAAATTTCAAACCATAACAGAAACAAATAAGCATGTAGTGAGAGGGTCCACACGCCAAAATCACCACGGGATGGTTCAATGGTTGGAAGCGAATTTCAGAACTGTATTCCACACATGACGTCTTGGGTTCGATTTCTAGCATTGGTGAATCACATAATGGTGATCAGGAGGAAGTTAAAATATCTTTATGAGTCTTTTCGACCCCTAAAAAAATAAATTACCATGATGACACCACCAGCTAAGTCTTTTATTTTATTTTAATTTTTTGAAGTCCACACGCCACGCCTAACAAATATACTTGGTGGTGAGTTTAGGCGGTACCGCATCTCTACTAATAGTAGTTCCTCTTCTTTGGTTGGCCAATTAGTCGACGTGTGTGGTGTTTGGAGGGAAGGACACGGACGATGTCAAACTCAATGGCCCTCCACTAAGCCTAAAGTCCTTCAAAACGCTTTGACAGCAAGAACAGAAGCATCAAGCATGGTTGGTGGTTGGAGAATTGGACTTTCAAGTGCTACGTTGTCACCACCAAGTCTTCCAAGTTCCACACACACTCCATACTCAACTTTAAGTACAAAAACAAAGAAATAAAATAGAAAAAGAAAAGCATTCTTGTCTTGGCCCATACATATTTTGGTGTCACCGACGTCTGATATTTATGCTATGTTAAACAAGAGATTTCTAAGTCCTAATAAAGAATTGAGGTTAGGTTGCTAAAGAGGGTTTGTTGAGTTGAGAATTATCGTTCAGTTCACTAGACCAAAGTTTAGGTTCAAGTCTCGTTACCAACAATTCCTCTAGTAGGCGATATGTAAAAACAAAACAAAAAAAGATTAAGACCTCTTCTGTAACTCCTCAAAATGACTTGTGGTATTGCTCATGACCAATGTCTAAACTATCGATATTATCCCGATATTTCCATTGAAATTTCCGTGTTTTTGGAGTACCGATATTTCCGATATCATCGATATGTTGGACCTTGATAGGAACTCTATGTGGTACTAGGTCACTCATGTATCTTACCATGCAATATATGAAGTGTAAAATATTCTACTAATTCATTATATATAAATGATATGGTGTGTTTAAACATATTTCATTAATTACTACATATTTTCTACACTCACAATGTTTGTCAGTTCGTTATATAATCAATTTAAATCAGTTAAATCCATCATGCAATGCATTTCCTTCCAATTTTTTTGTGATAAACTAATAGATAATTGACTAAATAAATATCCTGCAAAGTTTCAATAAAAATTTCCAAGTTTTTCTTACAATTTCCGTTGTTTTTATTCAATTTTTATCTATATCGATAATATCCCGATATTTCCATCGAAATTTCCGTATTTTTTTATTACCGATATTTCCGATATAATCGATATTTTATACCTTGCTCCTGACCTTGAAATGAGGTAACCTTCCCTCTCTCTAAAAACATTTTTCAACAAAAAAAAAGAAAGAAAGAATGGAGGTCAGGTTAGAAAAGCTCTCCATAAGCATAGCACATCGTAAATATAAAAGGCATTTCTAATCCCCCCTTATCTAGTATTTTGTGATCAAAGATCAGGGCACGTTTGAGATTGCAGCTGTAAACCGTCTTTAACTCGCCTGAGCTATCTTCAGCTGGAATTGTTGCTATTATTGAGTTTGAGAGAATTTTCAGTGTGCCCGGAATATAAGGTGAAACATCATATGTTACAATACAAACGGTAAGATATTTATGTCAAAACTAAAAATTAAAATTTTCCAACTTATAACACGTGATGTACCATCCTTGTTCCGAACGCAATGAAAAATTTCTCAAAGTTCGATTGAAGTAATCATTGATTTGAAATTGGCACAAAACGTTTGGCCAACTTGCATCTCCAAAAGCATTCAAGACCTTGACAAAACCTCATGAACATTTTCAACCACAATATTCTATTATAACAAGAAAAACAAGCTGAATAATAATATTTATAAGCATACGTTTACAAGCGACAATGGAAAAATTTTTAGTCTTTGACTCTCTACAACGACGCATCGGGCTCGCATCCGTGTGAATCGAATTTGAGACCTCCAACCAAAGTCTACCGACCGCCTCTAGACTCTTGTGCACAGATGCAGCAACATTATTTATTATTCTCACCGAAGGGAGCAAACCACTAGCAAATTTGATATAGGATTGACAATCTTCAACTTCACAACTTCAACCACTCCAAGCAAGGGCACAACCCCCAGCAAAACCTGGAGGGATAGTAGTCCTTTAAGTACACCTCCCTGCTAAACCCGATGATATAGAAACTGAACAACCGAGTACGATGAGCCATGGTGACACGTGTCACTGGCACAACGGAGATCGTGTGCCTCTCACTCACCACCCTTGCAGTGAGAGGTACATGAGCTCTGTCTGCAATGACTTCGGAGGAGAACTGGTTAAGGAAGAAAGAGTCGGCAAAGAAGGCTGGCGTGCACTGGTATGCCTGAGTGTTGCACAACTGGACTCCTTTTGCTCTGTGGAAAACCTCATCTGGAACAGATGCTGCTCCGCTAGTTGCACTTACCTTTCTGGTTGAGAGCGTCTTCCTGCAAGAGAATAAGCATTTTACTTCAACATACTGTTTCATACAGGATCATGCTACATAAGCATAAGGGGTGCAGTAGGAATGTGAGTTGGATACTTTTTCGTACCCACGCGGCCAGCACTTAAAAAAAAATTGTGTACGTATGTGTGCATGTGCGGTTCTATTACTCATACAGTTTAATGATCCCCCAATCAGAAACCATTTCAAAAGACATGATAAAGAAATTTGGAAATGATATGAGCAATGATGGCCACTTGAAAAAAGAAGTGTGGTAATCTGGATTTTATTGCATATCATATGAAAACATATCATGGACTTTGTGCCACAGCCTATGAAAATATATCATCACTAATGAAAATCATACCATTTAACAAGGGCAACATTACGTGTCAAAAGAGAACCATTCCCTTGGCATGTCAAACATTTTATTAAACCACGAGATCCACATGTTGGACAAGGGATCTTTCCTTTACCATTGCAACTCCCACATCTGCATCAAACAATATACTAGTGAGAGACAGTAAAATTTTAAAATCTGAATAATACATATTGCATAAGAAGGTTAGATTGTATGGTCCTCAGATTATAGCTTGAAACCAGATTAGAGCACCAATTATTTATAACTAGATGAGTAGGCAATAATAAGCATCTCACATCGAGTCGGATCCATCTTTATGAGCAATTAAGCCCCTTCCATAACAAGCAGAACACGTAGCCATCTGATTTTCTTTGTAGAATCCAGGTTCTTGATTTGCATTGCATGTAGGACACACATTACCACCTCTTCCCCCACAACCTGCAAATATTTTGAACATTTTTTTAGATCACAACAAGAATATATACTATCACCAAATCTGTGGGAATGACTTTCTGTCCAGAAGACACTCATAAATTACCACACAAGAAATAGATCACAAGTCCAAAGTTCAGAGTCTGTAATTCCTGAAGCCTTACCTGAACATTTTTCCATGGACTCAGAATGAGGAATTATTGCCCGTGATTCATGATGGGGTATAAATAAAACAGGAAACTGAGACTTCAAATCCAATTCCCAGATTCCAAGTTCTGGCCCCTTATCTTTTCCATCAATATTGCCACCAAGGTATGGCTCCGTTTCTCTTAAGGTTTCCCTTTCTTCAATGAAAGTATCCAGTGTTCCCACATAAACGTTGCAATCTTCTACTTTTTCAATTTTCCAGGTCCGTGCAGGACGACTTCCCCAACAGCATCTATGCCCAACATGATCAATGAGCAATTCTCGTATTTCTACTTCATCCAGTATTTGCCTATACGCAAACAATCAGTTTAAAAGAATATTCTTGACACTGCAATGTTGAACTTGAGAAAAATACCATAACAATTTCCGCAGACTATATGCAAGGGTAAAATGAGAAATACAGATTTTTTATGCATGTATATGGGGGAAAAATAATACGTGAAAATTTTCTAAGAGAGCAAGAGGGAAGAGGTTAGGGCAATACTAGGTTTAAGTAAACCTATATAACAAAATGACAAGCAATCCGCATGGAAAAAAAGGTTATCGAATGACAATGTCTGAATCTGGTACGTATTACTTGAAAAGCTCCCCTGATCCTCATATGTTTTTAATTTTCACTTTTATACAATGACCCTTGAACCCATTTCGTGTTTTTGTATTTACTTTGACACGATCTAACCTAGTACCTATCGCTTTTTTCACCCGCAATGTCACTTGACTCATGTTCTGAACCTGAAGAACATAAACAGGCATTTTGGTTTGTAGTTTCAAAACGACAATCAAACCAATATAAACAATAAGTAACCGGGAAATGCTTAAAATGTGTGATCCCACCATGAATTTAGAAACATAATCAGTTCAAACGACAATGTGTGTCTCTTAACAATAGATGCATTCCACGAACCATACCTATGGAGTTCACTTGTGGCGCCACCATAACCTCCACCATATCCACCTTGATAAGCAACAGCTTGCTCTGCAAGTTTGTAACCATCACAATCAATGACAAACAGCAAAGATTCAAAGTTCTAAAGTAAGTCCAACAATGTAACCCTCCTTTTCCCAACAAGACAACCAAATCAAAAAGGAAAAAGAAGTCAACCCAACACCGTACGTAATGAACTAATCCATTATTGTTCTAGAGGAGATCAGAAATTTCGAATTAATTGAGAAGCTAAAAATCATAAAATTTAAACATTGTTCTCTACCCTCAATTTCTCAGCAGCCAAACAGAAGATAAAACTCAAAAAGTTTTAATTTTTTCAACGAAGTTCATTTAAAATGTCACAAATGACAGTTACCCAATAATCAAAACGCAAAACCCACATCGAAAACATCGCAATTGGGATATAACAAAACACAAATTTGCATACCAGAAGGATCAGGCTCCTGCGGACTAACCAGACCGGCATGGATAGAAGGCGGGTAGCGATCAGAATCAGCAGCCGCCGACCGTATCTCCTCGACGCTGACATCAGTCCCGGCCAGCGCTGCCGTCGGAATCACCGACCCAGCTCTTCCCACGTACTCGTACGAGCTCCATTTCTCACTCCCCTTCTCTCCCAATTCGCCGCTTCTCCCTTCAGCAAACGATCACAAAAAACAAAACCCGTTAACAAAGCCGGAAAACATTTTATTTGTTGATGAAATTAGAAAGGTTGGGAATTGGGGGAGTGGGAATGCACCTGGTGAAAGCAGAGGCTCCTCCATTGCTGTGTGGGTGTGAGAGAGTGGAGAGGATGAGAAAAGCTGCAGATCGTTGGGCTAATTATAACGTGGGATTTGCTTCGCCAGTAAGGCAGATGAATCGAGTCAATGCCAATCCAATTTATTTTTGATTGATCGGTTTGTCGTGGACTCGTAGGCGCGAGGAGGAGTTGGTCTTTTTACCACTTAGCGGGAAAGGAAAAGGGGAAATAAGGTCGGAACCAAGTGTCTTGTTGTATAAACGGTTTTCTACACTAATTTATACAAAGAGGATGATAGATAATTTGAATTTGAAACACAATGAATTGTAGAAAAAGACACTAACTGTAGAGCAATCCATCACTTATGAAAGTGCTTTAGAACTATAAAAAACGATTTGCTTTAGAACTATAAAAAACATTTAACTTCTTATGTCAACCATTGTCGGAAATGCCTTCAATTATTTAGACTAAACATACTTACATTTTTAGCAATAAAAAATAGTTTTTAACTTGTTTGGCAAAATTACTTAAAAGTGTTTTTAATGTATAAGAATACACATGTCAAGTGTTTATTGAGTAATGCTATTCATACCGTATTTTTGGATCACATTTTCATACCACCTTAGGTGGCATTTGATGTGGACAGCTACATCATTTGAATTAATCAGATTTTCAAATTTAGTTCATTATTTAATAAACTGATAATTAAGAAAAACTAGTTAGCTAAATAATTATTGTGGTATATGATGAATATTTCTCTTTCATTTACTTGGGTTTTGCAAATTTTTCAAATGATGAGGCTATCCACATCAGATGCCACCTAAGATAGTATAGAAATGTGGTATAAAAACATAGTATGAATATCATTACTCGTGTTTCTTAGGGTTTAGGAAACACTCTCAAATAATTTTGCATAAATCACTTGAATTTTTAGTAATAATTTTGAATTATTTGTAAAAGTAAAGTGTTTTCTTTATCGAGTAAGAAAATTTTCAAACGCTAAATTATGTCAAATTAAAACTTCACAAGTTAGGGTCTATCTTGGGCCTAAGACCAGTAGGCCCAAAAAATAACAGTACCCAAAGCTTACTAATCACACAGTCCGCGCACACACACCGTATAATTCCTCCTGCCGTATATAAACCCCTCACTGAATCCTCCTCGCCTTTCTCCTAGGGTTTCCGTCTTCCTAACACGCCAGCAGCCACCAGAGACGCACAGAGCTACGTTCGAAAATGGTGAAGGGACGCCAAGGAGAGCGCATCAGGTCCCCTCCAAAATCCCATCTCTTAAACCAATCCTTCGTCAATTTCTCCAACCCCTTAATAATAATCAAATTTCTCATCATTTTTGTCTGATTTTTTTTAATAATTTTTTCGCAGACTGTATGTGCGAGGAACTGTTCTGGGATACAAGAGGTACTAAAAATGGAGTTTTTCCTGATCTGGGTTATTGAGCTAAGGGCGTGTTTGGCAATGGGTTTTATTGACATGGGTGTTTTTGCTTTTGGGTTTTTTTTTGGCAGGTCCAAGTCGAACCAGTACCCGAGCACGTCGCTGATTCAGATCGAGAATGTGAACACCAAGGAAGATGTGGCGTGGTACGCCGGAAAGCGGCTGGCGTACATCTACAAGGCCAAGGTGAAGAAGAACGGTAGTCACTACCGTTGCATTTGGGGAAAGGTCTCCAGGCCTCATGGAAACAGCGGCGTCGTTCGCGCCAAGTTCACGTCCAATCTTCCCCCCAAATCCATGGTAATTGATTTGTTTTGTTAAATCTTTAATTTGCCAGTTTTGCCTAATGTTGATTTGATTAGGGTTTAATTTGTTGATTACTTTGGTTTGTTTAATTAAACAGGGAGCTAGAGTCAGGGTTTTCATGTACCCCAGCAACATTTGAGGTAATAACAGTTTTCATTTATATGTTAGTTTTAAGGGCATTGTGATTTCAATTATTATTGCACTTATTCTGTTGCTTTATTGCATACCCGAATAGATGAACTCGATTTAACAATCACCCATTAACCAAATAGTTATGAATGGAAGGAATATAGGCCTCTCCTGGTTTCCGGGTCGAAAACTTATTTCATCTGATCTCTAATAGAATGGTTGAAATTAAAATGTAGTTCAGATTGTTAATTGCTCTCTCAACAAAGCTATGCAAAAATACTGCACTCTGTCGGGTTTGAACCTCAGCGAGACTGTCGAACCACCAGGATGTCCCGAGATGGACTGATGGATATGCGAATCGAGTTTTAGTATATTTAGAATAAGCAATTTTCCCTGGTACTTGCACATTTGCATAGATGTGTTTTTGTAGTCATAGTTCCCGTTTCTTTCCGTGTATGTGTTTCTTGTCGTCATTGTCGTTTCATCTGTTTTGCAGGTATGTGGCTAATGTAGATGATGGAATGCATTGGAGGTGGAGCATTTGAAGTTTTGGTTTTACTTTTATCCAGAATCGTGTTTAGACTTTATAAATCTTCTTGTACTCGTGAATGTGAGACGTTTACAAAGATGCTTGCTGCTTGTTTTGAATGTGCCTCTTGTTATAAAGTCTTGTATCTTGTTTCTGCATTCCATGGTGAATTATCTGCAAGTTATGCGTATCGCTTTTAGTAAAGAACGAAAAGAATTTTAATGCGCGACTCTTTGGTGTGTCGCAACTGCCGTGGTTAGAGAAACTGAGTTTAGAAAGAATCAACAGGAGAGGGTTCGGAGGACGGGAATTTGAACTTAAAATCTCTTTTGACGTTGGAAGGAAAAGGATCACTATAACTACATTAATGTAAATTGCATGGTTAGAGGTTAGAACTGCCAAAGATTTTTCCTGTTTCAGAAAGAGTTTTGGTTAGAACAACCCATGCTGTCTCGAATTTTAGGGGATGTGGTCAAATGAGGATTTTAAAGGATTTTAAAGGACTTTAGAATCATGGTGTAGTTAACTAGGATTTTAAAAGATTTTAAAGAATTCTTTCAAATACAAGAGTAGTCAATTAAAGAATTTTAAGCGACTTTATAATCCTGATGTAGTCAATTGAGATTTTAAAGAATTTTTATAGAGTTCATGCAAATCTTTAGGTATTAAAAAATTCATAGATTTTGAAGGATTTCTTTCAATAAGAGATTTTATAGGATTTGAAGGATTATAAGCATAACAAAATCCTACCTCCACCTCTCTCTCTCTCTCTCTCTCTCCATTCTACAACTCGATCTTTCTTTCTCACTCTCCATTTTCTTTCAGACATAGAACCTGCCACCCTGATTTCCTTTCACGTTCATCTGTAACCGTCCCAGTTGCAAACTTGAATTTTTTGAATTGTACAATATTTTTTGAATTTTTTATTTCCTTTATTTTGGACTTTGTAATAGTATTTCTTGTGATGCTTTGATGGGAAGTGTTAATAACTACTAACAGTTCTTGTAATGATTATGCATTCTATCTGAATGTGTTAATTTTTTACCATGTTAATTGAACTCTTGAAAATTACTACTAAGAATCTTATTGCCAATTCAAGCTTTCTGTTCTTTTTCGTGTAATCATGTTAGTGTAAGGGTGCAAGCATCTTCCAAAGCCTATTTATATTGGTAACTGTACTTAGACTGAATAACACATTATGAACTAATCAATTGTTGAGGAAAAAGGGTTAATTTTGATACATTTGATTTAAGAAGCACTACTTGTTTTGATTAGTTAAAATTATTTTTCGTAAAGAAATCACAATTCAAATAAGAAAGGGAAAGAAAAAACATATTTGATTGGTTTATATTTCCATATCAATATACATATGCTTATGTCTTTTTCAGATTATGCACTGAGAAAAGAATTTATGTTGTAGGAGTCAAAAAAGAAATCCTAAGAAATCCATGAAAGAAATCCATACAAATCTATATAGAAATCTATACAAATCTGTCAAAATTCATATGAAATTGTAGAATCTATTAAAATCCTTTTGAAAGCTGTCACTTAAAAAAGTCCATTAAAATTATCTGAAATTCAAATTAACTACACCCCTTTAATGTTGTAAAGTTGAGGAAGTTCCTACAAAGGCAAAGAGGTGTCTCAAGGGTGGAGAAAATTTTTAGTGTCCATAACGCGGTTTGATATATACCAACTTACCAAGTATCATACTACAAGTAGTTGAATTTTTTTTTCTTTCAAATATCCAATTAATTGTACTGTGATATTTGATATACCGAGCTGTATTTCAGCAAAAATTTCTCCTAAGGGTGTGGGGAATGGTAGGTAAGCTCAGTGGCTCAGTGCCTCATATCCTCCCCACATCACCTCCTCCACCAATATTCCGCTTTCACATTAATCTGTGAGAAATATCTTGTCTCTGCAATCATGTCCTCTACCAATAAAACAAAACTAGCACAAATCTTTCCAACCATTTCACACTCCCCAAACCCCCACCCACTTTCGGAAACACGACGACGACATACGCGTACACATCGTCAAAATTTGGGCACTCCCCTAGCCGATCCCACTGAGTATCGCCTCCTTGGTGGTTTTTTGCAGTATCTGTCTCTCACTCGTTCGGCTCTTGCCTATGCGGTTAGTCACGTTACTCAGTTCGTGCATCTCCTACGAATACTCATCTTATAACTGCCAAACGACGATTATTAACACTCCAAAAAAATCATGCCGTATTGATCTGCCTTCGTTTGTCGGCTCAACTACTTCTGTTTTATGGCTTTGTACTAATCGAAATTTCTTTCTTTTTCAGTGACCCCACATGACAGCAAGAAGCTTAATACTCATAAAAGCACTCACACACTTTTCTTTCCAAAGTTTAAATCTTTCTTTCCCACTTCGCAGTTCACAGGGACAAACCATATGAGATGTTGTTCATAGTTTTCCTGCTGTTCTCGCTGCACAAAGTCGAAGCAGCGTCTTCGTCTTCTTCTTCTTCCTCGGCTTCGAATTATCTGATCGGCCTCGGAAGCCATGACATAACAGGCCCTGCTGCCGATGTGAACATGATGGGATACGCAAACGCAGAGCAGACTACTTCTGGGATTCACTTCCGGCTTCGAGCTCGCGCGTTTATTGTGGCGGAACAACATCAGGGCAATCGTGTCGTGTTTGTGAATCTTGATGCATGCATGGGCTCCCAAATTGTGACAATTAAAGTGCTTGAGAGATTGAAAGCA